CAGTATACATACTTTTGTGTGAACATCACAAGTTAAAAACTTCTTAGTATTTTCACATAGAATTTTATTTAAAAGTACAGTTAAAACCTCTTAATTAGTACATAACAAATTATAAGCAGATGTGACTTAAATTTTATAATATTAATGTTGAAAGTTAAGACTGGAATTGTATGGTTATGACAATTATTTGACTCTGTTGCATGACTTTTAACAATGAATCATTTCAGTTAACCTTTCAACAGTGGGATAGTCAGGTATGGTACTATCCCAAAGTAGTGGAGAATAAACGTCGGAAATTTTTAAAGTATTTTTCCACGCATTTTTTCTAATTACCGTTTCAGAAAAAGATTTTGTAAACAGTTATGTCTAGTAAAGAAAAGTCTTTTTTTATTGTTACATAATTCTTTTTTTATGTGAATTTTTTTTGTGGTAGTTTTTGGCTAGTTTTTGGCAATACCCCCAAAAGAATTTAACGGATATATTCGACCCTCACCACTGCCACACAATCGCCCTGGACGGATATATCCGTCCCTTATTGTTGATTGGTTAAGCAAAATAAAATTTAATGGAAAAAACTACTTATAAATATCAGGTGATAAAAAAATTTGTACAATTTCTTAAAAATTATAACATTTTGCTCTGAAAAACAAGAACAATACAACAAAAGGTGTGTGATAAATTTGATAATTATAACAATAAGATCAGCAGGCTTGTGTAGTTATTTACTATTGTTAAACAACTCTTTCTAACAAGATACAAATTTATATTTTTTTCCACTTCCAAAAATAGAAAATCATTCGAAAGCACTTCCAATGTTTCATAATTTCAAAATTATTGACTATGCACATTTTGTGCATTATCAATAAATGTTCAGCAATAAGAAACAACGACAAGAGATATTTGAAATGTGAAAGATGGAACAGAAATTTCAAATAAGGTTTTGAATACAAATGACTAAAAGTTTGTCATTTTCAGATAGTATTTCAAAATATTGAAAATGCTTATTAAAAATAAATAAATAAAATATTAATTCTAAAGTAATAGCTTATGCCAACAATATAAAACTCCTAAATCATGATCTAATTGTTTTACAAACCAAACTTAAAATTCTTTCTTTGGCTTTTAGTAAAATTAAATTTAAAAACCAATATTCGTAAAACTGTATTGATTATTTTCTCTCTGATTAGAGATCCACCACTTCCACATTTATAAACATATTCTAAATTATGTAACTTTGTTTAGTGATCTGGGGAGTCATCTTTAACAATAAATTAACCTTTAAAAAAAAAAAAAAATGGTTAAATTAGCAAAAGATATATATAGAAAAAATAGCAAAATCTATCGCAATCCTCTGGGGAATTTTATGGCACTTTTGTAAACCCATATCATCAAAAACTGTACTAACATCAATATTTTTTACAAATTTCCAGTCTATTAGATTATTGCTTACCAATCTGGATAATGGCATCTCCTTCTTTACTAAACAAGGTTAATGACCTTGTTTAGTAAAGAAATACATAAAGTTTACTTCCTTTTAAACAAATTTTGCCATGTCCCTTACACTAATTGTCACAAGAGTCAGAACTGGGACTACCCAATTTCAAAGAAAGAGTTAAGTATTTTGACCAAATTTTAACCTATAAATATTTTAATGGCATCATAAACAATTACTGGCTCATGTTGAAAGTTCTTCTAGATTAACTAGATCACAATCTTGTTTATATACCCCTTTTTATTGTTTAGCATTAAGTCACAAATCCTTTTTTCTTGATCATATATCACCCATCAAATCAAGATTTTATAAAATACTAGCTGTTACTGTTTGCCTGACTTCACCTGTGTGGATTTTGTAAGCAAACCGCATTTATATTCAGTATTTCAACAACCATAGTAATTGTTATATAACACCTACCACTGAGAATGATGAGAATTGCTGAGAATCAAACAAACCGTTTTCAATTTGATCAATTTTCTGAAACGTTTACAATCATTCTATAATTGAACCAATATGCACTAACAAATTTGAATTTAAAATGGTTTGAACATTTGGTTAAAAAATCAAAANGTATTTACATCAAAATATATAAATAAAATATATTGAAGCTACAAAACTGTCTTTGTGTTCTATTTAATGACAGAACATGAAGACAATTTTGTAGCTTCAATACATTTTATTTATTTATATTTTGATGTAAAAAATTAAAATTAACTCATTTCATATGGTTTGCAAAGTTTAATGAACTTCTTACAACTTGATCTTTACATATAGTATCAAAAAATAAAAAATAAAAATTGATGAACAGCACTTGTGCATTCTTTACATTTCTATTATACACATTCCACACATTAAGTCAACATTTCACTGTAATAGTTTTAATATTCTTATTATCAACAGTGCATCTTTATTTAAATTGTAAAAAAAAACCCTAGTGTTTCTTAAGCTTCACCTTCCAGTAGACTTGTTTAATAAATTTTAATGTGTTATTTACCTAATTTGCAATTTACCTCTTTGCTGTCAATATATTTGCCTAGACTCACAGGAATCTGTGGACCACACATTGTTGAGAAATCTGCTATCTGAATTATCTCAATCACCTGGACATGAAAATTTCTACTATTCAGCACTACAAACTGTGCAAAAATTTTCAGTGTTTTTGGATGATGCTTTTCAATGTCGTCAAATAAAGAAAACACTTAAGTATCTCAGAATGGATAGATTTATGGGAGATGACAATGCAACACCTGGAAATCTTGCAAGGAGGGATGCCTCCCAGGAAGGCTCTACAGGAAACTGACTATTTAGGTGTTAGATTTGTAAAGAAAACCTGAAAAACTTTATGTGACCAGCCATTGGTGAGATGCTGACCTGCAACAAACATTGATGGGGCTAAGTTCATAAAGAAATCAGTATTAATTACCATGGTCAGACCCAACTTGTGTTATTTTAAAATTTCAAGTACAGCATAACCCTTCTAATCCGTCATCTTGGGACTGGGGGTATGGTCGGAACACAAAAAAGGTCGGATTATAGAAAAAAGTAAAATAAACAATCTTCCCCTTTGTCCAGTCTTTGTAGCACTGCTAATTTTTCATTTAATGAAAGAGAAATGTGTTTACGTTTCACTCCTGACATGTTGAAAAACACACAAAACTGTATACATACACACAATGTAAAACATATACTGTAACGAACACAGAACAACGCAACGGGCGGTGAGTTACTGACGAGTCGGGACAAGTTTCTTGACTCTGACCACGGTTGGATTAACCAGAGCGACGGACTAGCCAAGGGCGGACTAGAGGGGTTCTACTGTAATTTCAAAAAATTATAATGTTTTAATGAAATTATTTAAATTGTAAATGTATGTAATTTTTCTTATTAACTTTTTAACTATTAACTTTAATTAAAATATTTCAACTTAAATAATGTAAAGGAGTGTTTTAGAAGTTAGACAAAATGGCCATGGGAAAATAATTCCAATAATATGAAATTTCCTTTTTACAATATTTTTTGGTGTTCGTTACTTGAAGTTCATTCTTAACTGAAATTTTTCAGCCTTATAAAAATTCATTCTGAGGTCATTGTCAAATAAATTTTGTATTTTTGGATATCAAAAAGTCCATTTTTTATGTTTGTGCAAAAATAAAACAATCATTTATGGCACCGAATTCAATTTTATGTAAAAGCTGTTTTTTTTTCAACCTCAGATGGTCTATAAAAAAAAGACAAGTGTAAATAACAAAATGAATTTATTACCAAAAGTTAGGTACAGACATGGTTACTTTTTGACATAGTCAATGTGAAGATTGAGGCATTTGTCATATCTGTGGACGAGCTTCTCCATCCCTTTGTCATAGAACATTGCCACCAATGACTTGAGCTTGAGATGGGTCCTAACATTGTTTTGAAGATCGAACCTCTGCCCTCCTAGCCACTTTTTCTGTTCAGGAAAGAGGTGGAAATTGCTTGGCACTAAATCACGGCTATATGCTGGGTGTTTAAAGGTGGTGAAGACTTCCACCGATCTTGGAACTTTTTAATGTGTGAAGACTTTCACCTCTTTCCTGAAATGAAAATGTGGCTAGCAGGGCAGAGGTTTGAGACTAATGAACATCTTCAAAATAACATTGTTAAGACCATCTCAATTCACTGGCAGCAACATTCTATGACAAGGGACTGGAAAAGCTTGTCCACAGATATGACAAATGCCTCAATCTTCACGGTGATTTATGTCAAAAAGTAACCATGTTTGTACCTAACTTTTGGTAATAAATTCATTTTGTTATTTACACTTGTCTTTGTTTTATGGACCATTGGAGCTTGAAAAAAACCATCCTCATATTTCTATTAATCAACATATTGCATCAAGTTTATACATAATTGTATATGTTGATAAACTGTATCCTATAATGATGAAAACATGTACTTAAATTCAAGCATTCTTTTAATCTAAAATATTTGTTAACTTATCAGCTTAGTGTTGCATGGTAAATTGTATAGTAGGCTACTTATTTATATGTATGATTTAATTTGAATTTTCTAAACTATAATAATAATTATTAATTGTTTCATAAAGTATGGTTTTATTTTGTGAGCAATAATTTTTGGGGAAATTTTGGGTCCTGAAAATATTCTGCATGACATTTGATAAGTTGCATTGTACCACATTACTTCTTGCTGCCTGCAGACAGCTGCACTTGGTCTACCTAATTGTGAAGAAAAAAAATCAACAAGGCAGCCAAGAAGGCAAATTACCTGACTTTCCATGACTTTTTCTGAACACTGAAAATCCCTGACTTTCCAGATGCATAGGAACCTGTTTATGCCTATATATCTTGTGCAGGTTTACATAAGCTTGCATTAGATTTTATTTACATGTATGCATATGGCTATGCAAGAATACATACTCTTATTGATACATACTATAGCTAATTTACTAAATGTGTCATATATTTAATAGCATTTTTATTGAATTATTTCATTTATTAAAAAATCTTACCTCTTCAGATTCAATTTTACTTTTAGGTACTTCTTTTTCAGTTTTAACTTCTGACTTTGTTTCACTTATATGATTAGAATCGGATTTACTACTTATGCTGCCTCTAAATTTCTTCTTTTTCCTTCCAAACTAAAATAAAAATAAATCTAATTTAACATTTTAATGAACTTAGTTTTAATTTTTATGAGATTAATTTAAAAATTTCTTAATAAACTTATACATAAGTATTATTAAAGTTTAGATCATTTTGATATATTTATCAATTATAAAACTTCTATTAATATAAATGATTAAAAATATCAATGAATCAAAAATTAATTGGATAAAATGAACTTCGCATTGATAAAAATTGACTTAAAAGACTAATTTTGAATAAATATTTAACTGCACTTGGTCTACCTAATTGTGAACAACAAAAATCAACAACTAACTATAATTTAAAATTCTTTTCCATGCAGATACAAATTTAGTAGTATGGATAAAAAAATACCAAATTGATATGTCTTAACAATTACTAGTGTATACAATTAATTTTAAATAACCTTCTTACATCATCATATTCACCATCAGATTCTTCTCTTTCAATATATTCAATATTTTCTCTTTCATTATAACCACCTCCTAAACCTATATAAGCAAATAACACCAAAATTAAAAATATGATTAACAGAATAAAATTCATTAATAAATGAAATAACAAATAAATAAAATCTGGATAGTCAATCAAAATGTAGGATAAGAAATAATTTCTTAATAAGAACATAAGCCACTTTTAACCAATTAAAATAATAATTTTGCACCTAAAAATGGAATTATAAATTATAAGTTGAAATTTAGAAATATGAAAATGATATTTACAATAAATAATTAGGATAACAAAATTGAAATCTTTAACTGAAAGTTAAACAAAAAAATTAATACAATTCTTAATTCAAATACATCTCTTTGAATATGTAAGGATTGTTCCAAATATAAAATGAATTTAATTTTTTAAAATACTAAAAAGTACAATAAGGTAAACTTAAAAACTTTTTAAAAAAGGTCACAGTTTGTTGTTATATTATATAATAAAATAATTAACTGTTAAAAATACAAATTCTTTCTGACTGTTCATACAAGATAAAACTATTTTAAAATAACATTAAAATTAAAATCAATCAAATAAGATTTGATTTTAATTTTAATGCCATTTTAAAATAGTTTTATCTCATATGAACAGTTAGAAAGAAAACTTATATTTTTAACAGTTAATTATCTTATTCAATTTAATTTTTTCTTTTGCAAATGATTTATCTTATATATATCCAATATTTACTTTTATATCAATACATACCTGTTCGCTCTTCTACTTCTCCATATTTTGGTGCATTACACATGTTACATTGTTGTCTGCGTGCCCAATTCACATTCCCACACCTAAAGATTTTAATAACAAAAACTAAAATAAACTACATCTATTTTCTTCTTCTTTTATTTATTATATGTGAATATCTTTTATTTATTATATGTGAATACATATAGAAGCTAATAAAAATATTAATATTAGTCTAATAATTAAAAATCTTCATACCTTCCACATTGCCAGTCATCTGCACTGAATAAACCCCTACTTTTCTCTGCAGCTGCTTTTCCAATCTCATGACCAAGTTTTTTCCTTTGTGGTATAGTTGACTTTTCTTTTTTAAAATAAATTATAATTATTGAAATTTTAAATTTTATAAAATTATTCTTTAATATATGTAAATTATAATTTACAAACTTAATACTATTATCTTAAATTTTGATATATTAATATTGAGATTAATTTTAAATATGATAGGGATAGATACCAATGGAATGAAAAATCTGGAATCTACCAAGTCCTGCTAAAACATATCTTAAATTTAATTTTTGCAATAAAGATATCTACAAATATAACACATACTTACATAATACATTATTTTATGGTTTTAATATTTTTCTCATTAATATAATTTGCTTTTTGTTAAAAAAAAATTCATTTCAAATATTTTATTTGAATTAAGGCTAAGCCTTGTTACAGGGGGTATTTTTCCAATAACATATTATTATACATTTGTTATTTAACAATAATTCAATATACATTATCTTCAAGATCATAAATAACATTACAATAATCTTTTAGTAGTAAATTTTTTCATTAGTTTTCTTTTAACTATTTTACTTTAAGTAACATAATTAGTATAACAAGATTTTTATTTTATTAATTTATCACATATTAAAAAAAATTTATTTAATGTTTTGATGGTCACAATACATTTCGTGCATATAACAATTTTGATATTATTGATCACATTTACATACAAACCAGTTTAGATATTTATGTCTCAATGTCATAAATATGCAATCAATATACAACTCTGGAATTGTAAGGTTATGACAATTTTCTGATTCAGTATTTTCTAACTTTCAACATTAAAATTATAAAATTTTAAATCATATCTTCTATGTACCTAATTAACATGTTATTTGACTGTAATTTAAAAAAAAAAACTGTATGTGAATATGCTAAGTACAGTAGTTTTTAAATATTCATCATTGTAAGAAATTCAAAAAATTGAAATACCTATATTTATTTCAGAATAATTCATATTATTGTGAGATTAGCAGTGGGCCACTGGGCTCATCCTAAATGACCACTTACTCTGCAACAGGTTGGTAAAATCCATTCTCAGCTTGTCGGATGGCTAGGAAGGCAAAAAATTGACTGGGGAGTGCATCGGTAAGTCGGCAGGTGTCCTTCAGAGACAGGAGACAGGTTTAAAAACTAAACAAGCATTTATTTATATAACTAAGCTAGGATACATAGGTTAAATGCGATTAAATAAGTTCACTATACAAAAGGGATGCTCTAATAGCTTTACCTGCTAGTCTGAGAGAGTGTTCACAAAGTTCTAAAAAGTACAAATACCTCTATGCAGATATGTCTAATATGCATTCGTTGAATATGTTCGTTAATGGCGATGGAAGTTCAAATGGCTGTGGTTGGTCGTATGTCCTTTCGGTCCGGAGTATGGAGACAAATATGGCACATCTACCAAGTATAACTTCCGANACATCTCTTTGAATATGTAAGGATTGTTCCAAATATAAAATGAATTTAATTTTTTAAAATACTAAAAAGTACAATAAGGTAAACTTAAAAACTTTTTAAAAAAGGTCACAGTTTGTTGTTATATTATATAATAAAATAATTAACTGTTAAAAATACAAATTCTTTCTGACTGTTCATACAAGATAAAACTATTTTAAAATAACATTAAAATTAAAATCAATCAAATAAGATTTGATTTTAATTTTAATGCCATTTTAAAATAGTTTTATCTCATATGAACAGTTAGAAAGAAAACTTATATTTTTAACAGTTAATTATCTTATTCAATTTAATTTTTTCTTTTGCAAATGATTTATCTTATATATATCCAATATTTACTTTTATATCAATACATACCTGTTCGCTCTTCTACTTCTCCATATTTTGGTGCATTACACATGTTACATTGTTGTCTGCGTGCCCAATTCACATTCCCACACCTAAAGATTTTAATAACAAAAACTAAAATAAACTACATCTATTTTCTTCTTCTTTTATTTATTATATGTGAATATCTTTTATTTATTATATGTGAATACATATAGAAGCTAATAAAAATATTAATATTAGTCTAATAATTAAAAATCTTCATACCTTCCACATTGCCAGTCATCTGCACTGAATAAACCCCTACTTTTCTCTGCAGCTGCTTTTCCAATCTCATGACCAAGTTTTTTCCTTTGTGGTATAGTTGACTTTTCTTTTTTAAAATAAATTATAATTATTGAAATTTTAAATTTTATAAAATTATTCTTTAATATATGTAAATTATAATTTACAAACTTAATACTATTATCTTAAATTTTGATATATTAATATTGAGATTAATTTTAAATATGATAGGGATAGATACCAATGGAATGAAAAATCTGGAATCTACCAAGTCCTGCTAAAACATATCTTAAATTTAATTTTTGCAATAAAGATATCTACAAATATAACACATACTTACATAATACATTATTTTATGGTTTTAATATTTTTCTCATTAATATAATTTGCTTTTTGTTAAAAAAAAATTCATTTCAAATATTTTATTTGAATTAAGGCTAAGCCTTGTTACAGGGGGTATTTTTCCAATAACATATTATTATACATTTGTTATTTAACAATAATTCAATATACATTATCTTCAAGATCATAAATAACATTACAATAATCTTTTAGTAGTAAATTTTTTCATTAGTTTTCTTTTAACTATTTTACTTTAAGTAACATAATTAGTATAACAAGATTTTTATTTTATTAATTTATCACATATTAAAAAAAATTTATTTAATGTTTTGATGGTCACAATACATTTCGTGCATATAACAATTTTGATATTATTGATCACATTTACATACAAACCAGTTTAGATATTTATGTCTCAATGTCATAAATATGCAATCAATATACAACTCTGGAATTGTAAGGTTATGACAATTTTCTGATTCAGTATTTTCTAACTTTCAACATTAAAATTATAAAATTTTAAATCATATCTTCTATGTACCTAATTAACATGTTATTTGACTGTAATTTAAAAAAAAAAACTGTATGTGAATATGCTAAGTACAGTAGTTTTTAAATATTCATCATTGTAAGAAATTCAAAAAATTGAAATACCTATATTTATTTCAGAATAATTCATATTATTGTGAGATTAGCAGTGGGCCACTGGGCTCATCCTAAATGACCACTTACTCTGCAACAGGTTGGTAAAATCCATTCTCAGCTTGTCGGATGGCTAGGAAGGCAAAAAATTGACTGGGGAGTGCATCGGTAAGTCGGCAGGTGTCCTTCAGAGACAGGAGACAGGTTTAAAAACTAAACAAGCATTTATTTATATAACTAAGCTAGGATACATAGGTTAAATGCGATTAAATAAGTTCACTATACAAAAGGGATGCTCTAATAGCTTTACCTGCTAGTCTGAGAGAGTGTTCACAAAGTTCTAAAAAGTACAAATACCTCTATGCAGATATGTCTAATATGCATTCGTTGAATATGTTCGTTAATGGCGATGGAAGTTCAAATGGCTGTGGTTGGTCGTATGTCCTTTCAGTCTGGAGTATGGAGACAAATATGGCACATCTACCAAGTATAACTTCCGAGGGATCACGCAGAACTTCCGGGGACTCGAGCTTTTATACGTTATTCGTGGGAAATGAGTCATGTGATCGACTTCTGATGACACTTATGGTGCATTCCGATTAACTAAGTGTCAACTTTCCCACCTTACTGTGAAAACAATTGGTGACCTCCGATATACTTCTCACCAAGAGTGGGTTTTTCCTCGGAGTTGTTTACAAAGATTTTTCCGACATCGGCGTAAAAATCGCGGATTTCACACTATATTAATATTTTATAAAAGATATTTGAAAAGTCATTTAATACTTAGTTGAATAACCTTTGTTTTTAATTACATCACAAATTCTTCATGGCATTAAAGCAATTAATTTCTGATAATCATCAGGTATAATTTCAGATCAAATTTTTTCAATTTTTCTTTTAATATTGAAGCTATTTCATCCATATTCATTTCATTGTCCCTCAAAGATTCTATACAAATTCAAGTCTAATAAATTGATATTGTTGTTTATAAAACAAGTTAGGGTTGACTTCACGACATGAGCTGGTGCAAGATCTTGGAAAATAACATTTGAATAAAGTTCTTCCATTGAAGGAATAAAGAAGTACCCTAGCAACTCTTGATACTCTGAGGAATTTAAGGTACGTTTAATAATTGTCATATGGCCACTTCTTGCAGACATGTACCCCAAATTATCACATTCCTGGATATTTGACACATTGCTTTAGTGTAAATGGATAAAAAGCTTTTTTCGTTTTCCACACACATACACCCTAATCATATGATACACAAAACCTTAATTTGTCACTAAAAATAATCTTATTCCAATCTTTGCCGGTCCAATTAATATACTCTTTATACCATTGAACTTTTTTCAGTCTTTGTTTCCTAGAGATGAATAGTTTGTGTTTTGGAACAAGTTCATTTCATGAAGTCTGCAAACTGTTTTACTGTGGGATACATTTACATTCTCCTTTTTCCATACAGAATAATATCTGCTTGTTTTAAAAGGATTTTTTCTTACTATTGCCTTTAGTTTATGATCATCTCTCGGAACTTGTTGAGCATTTTCTTCCATAATTTTCATGACTACAATAGAGCATCAATTATCCGACCCCTGATTAACCATCACATCGGTTAACCGACATTCTAGTCGGCAAATTTCAAATGTCCGCTAGTGATGTGGCATTACAATATTTAGCTATGTCTTGGCTACTTTAATATTATTTTTGTTAAATTTTTGCATGTTTTAGCTGGCAACAGGCTTGACCATTGAAGGGAAGCCAGTATTTAAACGAGACTTAATTTTCTAATTATGAATGGTTGTTTGTTTTGTGAGCAATAAAATAATTTAAAATAATTTTTAACGATACAATAGCAACGATTATTATTTTAAAAAAAATTTTGTTAGGCTTAACATTGATGAAAATTCAACGTGAAGTTGGTTAATAGCAATATACTAATATACTAATTACATGGGATATACCAATATACTATAGTAATAATCCTTCTTTTTGGTTATCCAATTTTTTCAGTTATCCAACCAACCTGAGTCCCCAATTGAGTCGGATAATTAATGCTCTACTGTATTTACAATTTTCTTTTTGGAATTCATTTGTTTTAAGATTTTTGATACTGTATTTGCATTTTTCATCAGATGCTCGCCCTCTGGTGTTTAAAAACAAAACTATTCTATCTGGGTCATTTGATTCATTCTTGTGTATTATCAGCAGTAAAGATGAATAGCAATAGAAAAAGCAAAGCTTTCTGTTGCATTCCAAATTGCAATTTAAAAGCCTTACGGGAGCCTAATATAAGTTTTTGTCTATTCCCACATGAAAAACAGATGATTATTCAGAAATTGGTCGATTATATTTACAAGCTTCTCTGAATTCTGAAAGAGTGGATTAGACTGTTAAGAATTGGCAGTTTCCCCAACTGTTCCAGCTTTACATGAACAAGTTTATGCTGTCAATTTTAAAACATATTTTCTTAAAGTTTAAAATGCCAGTAATTTTGTGTGGGACACAGGGTCAGATTTAAGCATTTCAAAGTCCTAAGCTGAACTAAGCAAGGCCCCTTACCAACCCTTCACAATTTTAGAAGTCAATCATAAAAAGAAAAGAATTAAATCAGACTGTGTCTCTGATTTAATACGAATATTGGAAGAAAAAGATGTGAGGTTTCACTAGTCTTATGTTTTATAACTGAATTTAATTAAATTTTTATACCCATTCCATTAAAAAAATTTTTTTAAATTGGTTTTATTGATTTTTTTTATGACGACCTTACATTAATTCTTAGAAAAAAATTAATGAAATAGTACACAAAATAAAAAGTAAAGTATATTTTCTTGGTTTGTAAAAAAATGTTTATTATGAAATTTGACTTCAATTTTCTTTTTTGTACAAATGTTTGAGGCCCCTTGAAAGTTGAGGCCCTAAGCAACAACTTACATAGCTTTTTACTTGTAAATCCGGTCCTGATAGGACAAAAGTCAAAGCTGATGTTTTTTGACACAAAAAGCACAAATATGCATAGAACAATCATGCTCATTTCTTTAGATACCACATAATGACATGTCCCGCTAGCAATAACTGTTCTCCTTCTATAAAATTTCTCGATAACAGCTACAAGCAGCATATATCATTATAGCAGACAGTAATATATGATTAATTTTACATTACTAGTTACAGGCAACCCAGATAAGGTAGCCATTTTATAAAAATGCAGCATCCTCCAAAGTTCATGAAAAATGTGAATATTGTGAATAGTTAATGATTTTGGTAATTTTCAATTAAGATTTACTTTCATTTTGTAAAATTTTAATAGTTCTTCTCATTCCAGATGATAAGTCTTTCTTACTTCCCATTGCAATGTAAATCACACTCTTTTGCAACAAAGGTGTCAGAACATCTTAAACAATACATCTGTGTAACAAGTAATTCTAACAATTATTATTTTAAATATTAAATTTTTTGAAATAATAAATAATTTATTCCAATTTTTTGAATTTCTTAAAAAGATGAATATTTTGTGGCTCTATGCCATATTTTGTATCTTCTTCGTTCTATTGTTATATTTCTTCTAGAATTTTCTTTTCTAACCCTTTCCCCTTAGGTGATGACGACCAATTCTTAGAACAAAAAGAAAAGAAAGAGGCCCAAGGGCTAAGGAGTGGAGAAACAGTCACTTTTGGCTTGGACATCAACAGGGAACAACATGAAAGATCATGCTCTGGGTCACAATTGGCAACAACTGGGGATGAGAAGAGTATCTGAAAGATCAAGGAGTAAAAATCAAGAAGTTTGATCAAGGAGTAACTCTACTGTGGTTACGATAGAACCAGAAGACCATACAAGACACCAAAGTAAGATTGACAATGAGAAATCATTTTTCTTCCCAAGGAAACTAAAATTGGCATCCCACCCAAGTCATGAATTACTATGAAGCCCGGGTACCCAACTTTTTGCTAATCCCTATTTTTACGTATTTTTTCTCTATACCTATCACCTTCCTTCTTCCCTAGTTTTAGGATAGTATGTAAGCCTTAGTTATAGTTGTTTGTGAGTACTATCTGTACACATATATATGTCGCAAATAGTGATTGCAAATTTACTGGGTATTATAATACTGGTAATTCGGTAATTATATTCGGGATTACCGGTTTATCAGTAATTTACCGGTAAATTTGTATTAACAAATGATTTAAAACGAAACTGAATTACTGACAAAATTATTGGACAACCATGTAATTTTGAAAGTAGAATCTTAAAAAAATAATACATTTAGGCTCTCATCTAATCTAGATCTAATTTTCATACAAATGACAGTTGCATTAGAAAAAGCACTCTCTGAATCAATACTAATTGGATGTCTCTCATTAGAGCATTGAAAATCTTTTTAAGATACGTTCCTTGTATTTTTTGCTCTAAGAAATACTTCATTTCTTTCTTAACTATATCTTTCACACTTTTAAACTTATTTATATTACTGTTATCAGTGTCTATGCTCATTTTATGTTTAATGACTAAGTATAATTTCTCTTTCATTGTTAAATTTGACTTTTCTATTATGCACTTTGTTCTTGTTGGACGTGAGAAGTTGGTATGGAAAACAATAACCTTAAATTACAAATGGAATGACCCATCACCACCTGCACTGTTTTCTTGCTATGGTATGGAGAGAAAAAAATCTGCTTCCCACAGGAAATACCCATGAAAATTTTATGAAAATAAATATCAGGTTAATTAAAAGGATTTTTAATTGAAATAATGATATAAAAATTAATTGCTGGTAAATTTACTGGGATATAATTTTCCTAATTTACCAGTAACCAGTAAACCAGTTACCAGTAATGCAATCACTAGTCACAAACCACATACCAATTGTCATTTTCCCTTTTTTTTATCATTAACATAAAATGTATTATAATTTTTTTGACCAAGGAGTTGGAATCCAAAAGAACCTTGTTCAAAATATGCAAAAATAAAAATATTGTTGTTACATATTTTTGTATGTTTCCTTTTTGTCAGTATACATACTTTTGTGTGAACATCACAAGTTAAAAACTTCTTAGTATTTTCACATAGAATTTTATTTAAAAGTACAGTTAAAACCTCTTAATTAGTACATAACAAATTATAAGCAGATGTGACTTAAATTTTATAATATTAATGTTGAAAGTTAAGACTGGAATTGTATGGTTATGACAATTATTTGACTCTGTTGCATGACTTTTAACAATGAATCATTTCAGTTAACCTTTCAACAGTGGGATAGTCAGGTATGGTACTATCCCAAAGTAGTGGAGAATAAACGTCGGAAATTTTTAAAGTATTTTTCCACGCATTTTTTCTAATTACCGTTTCAGAAAAAGATTTTGTAAACAGTTATGTCTAGTAAAGAAAAGTCTTTTTTTATTGTTACATAATTCTTTTTTTATGTGAATTTTTTTTGTGGTAGTTTTTGGCTAGTTTTTGGCAATACCCCCAAAAGAATTTAACGGATATATTCGACCCTCACCACTGCCACACAATCGCCCTGGACGGATATATCCGTCCCTTATTGTTGATTGGTTAAGCAAAATAAAATTTAATGGAAAAAACTACTTATAAATATCAGGTGATAAAAAAATTTGTACAATTTCTTAAAAATTATAACATTTTGCTCTGAAAAACAAGAACAATACAACAAAAGGTGTGTGATAAATTTGATAATTATAACAATAAGATCAGCAGGCTTGTGTAGTTATTTACTATTGTTAAACAACTCTTTCTAACAAGATACAAATTTATATTTTTTTCCACTTCCAAAAATAGAAAATCATTCGAAAGCACTTCCAATGTTTCATAATTTCAAAATTATTGACTATGCACATTTTGTGCATTATCAATAAATGTTCAGCAATAAGAAACAACGACAAGAGATATTTGAAATGTGAAAGATGGAACAGAAATTTCAAATAAGGTTTTGAATACAAATGACTAAAAGTTTGTCATTTTCAGATAGTATTTCAAAATATTGAAAATGCTTATTAAAAATAAATAAATAAAATATTAATTCTAAAGTAATAGCTTATGCCAACAATATAAAACTCCTAAATCATGATCTAATTGTTTTACAAACCAAACTTAAAATTCTTTCTTTGGCTTTTAGTAAAATTAAATTTAAAAACCAATATTCGTAAAACTGTATTGATTATTTTCTCTCTGATTAGAGATCCACCACTTCCACATTTATAAACATATTCTAAATTATGTAACTTTGTTTAGTGATCTGGGGAGTCATCTTTAACAATAAATTAACCTTTAAAAAAAAAAAAAAATGGTTAAATTAGCAAAAGATATATATAGAAAAAATAGCAAAATCTATCGCAATCCTCTGGGGAATTTTATGGCACTTTTGTAAACCCATATCATCAAAAACTGTACTAACATCAATATTTTTTACAAATTTCCAGTCTATTAGATTATTGCTTACCAATCTGGATAATGGCATCTCCTTCTTTACTAAACAAGGTTAATGACCTTGTTTAGTAAAGAAATACATAAAGTTTACTTCCTTTTAAACAAATTTTGCCATGTCCCTTACACTAATTGTCACAAGAGTCAGAACTGGGACTACCCAATTTCAAAGAAAGAGTTAAGTATTTTGACCAAATTTTAACCTATAAATATTTTAATGGCATCATAAACAATTACTGGCTCATGTTGAAAGTTCTTCTAGATTAACTAGATCACAATCTTGTTTATATACCCCTTTTTATTGTTTAGCATTAAGTCACAAATCCTTTTTTCTTGATCATATATCACCCATCAAATCAAGATTTTATAAAATACTAGCTGTTACTGTTTGCCTGACTTCACCTGTGTGGATTTTGTAAGCAAACCGCATTTATATTCAGTATTTCAACAACCATAGTAATTGTTATATAACACCTACCACTGAGAATGATGAGAATTGCTGAGAATCAAACGAACTGTTTTCAATTTGATCAATTTTCTGAAACGTTTACAATCATTCTATAATTGAACCAATATGCACTAACAAATTTGAATTTAAAATGGTTTGAACATTTGGTTAAAAAATCAAAATATATAAAAATATTTATAACAATGTCTGAAATGTTATCAATTTAATACACCTAAGTACTCAATGAAGATTAAACATAGTTGAAAACAAAAAATTGCATCTAAAATAGTACAGTAGAAGCCATTCTTCAGGTTAAGCCTTAATCCTCTCCCTCGCCCCCACGGGAGAATTTCAAAAATTCCCTTCTAAGTGCGCGATTTCATGACGTACCCTAACTCTGTACCAAATTTTCTCTCTTTACGTTCAGCAATTTGCTCTGGGCAATGATGAATCAGTCAATCAGTCAGTCAGGACATGTAATCTATATATATAAAATTGCTTGTCCTGACTGACTCATTCACTCACTGATTCATCATCACCCAGAGCAAACCGCTGGAACCTAAAGAGGTGAAATTTGGTACATCATGAAAACGCTCACTAAGAAGGGATTTTTCGAAATTCCCCTGCGGGGGGAGAGGGAGAGGATTAAGGCTTAACCGGAAAAACAGCTTCTACTGTACTATTTTAGATGCGATTTTTTGTTTTTATCTGCGTTTTAGTAGGGTATGCCAAGGGAATGCACACTTGAAAGGATTTTTCGAAATTCCCCAGCGGGAGGAGAGGGAGAGCATTAAAGCTTAACCGGAAGAACGGCTTCTACTGTACTATTTTACATGCGATTTTTTGTTACGTTTAGTCTTCATTAAGTGCTTAAGTGTATTAAATTAATAACATTTCAGACATTGTTATAAATATTTTTATATATTTCAATTTTTTAACCAAATGTTCAAACCCTTTTAAATTCGAATTTGTTATTGCGTATCAGTTCGATTATAGAATGATTGTAAATGTTCCAGAAAATTGATCAAATTGAAAACAGTTTGTTTGATTCTCAGCAATTCCCATCATTCTCAGCACATTATATAACAATTACTATGGTTGTTGAAATACTGAATATAAATGGGGTTTGCTTGCAAAACCTCCGCGAGCAAAGTCGTGGGTAACAGCTAGTTTTATATATATATAACAATTTAAATAATCAAAATGGTTTTGTATAATAAATTTCCTAAAGCCCAATACATTGATAAAATTGATACAAAATGGTTTTGATCTCTTAAAAACCACTCTCAGTGATTACTAGGTAGAATACCTTTTCAAAAAGAAGGAATATCAGTATCAGAACAAATATTATCTTGTTTAAATGTGGAACATTCCATAAATGGAAATAGAAAAAAGCAAACCTTTCATAAGATAATCTTGTAATTCCATTCTGCAGAATTTAAATAACTTGTTAGTAGAAAGCCAGTGTAGGATATGGTGAGATAGATAAAACAAAAATTAAAAAAATTAAGTAAATAAAAAAGAAATATAAACCAGATAAGGAATATATTAAAATACAAACAGCTTTCCAACCAGTAGAAATGAAGTTTCTGTCTTTATAATCAATGCATGTTGCTTTCTTTTCAACCTCATATATTTCCAGTTGTTATAATGGCTTTACATTTATTTACTATCTACTATTATATTTTTTGTAGGATGGATTAGAGTAGGCAACTTCATTAAACAGAAGGATTTAAAGCAAAATGTGGCCTGGGCTGTGGTAAGCAATCCTTTCTTTATATCTGCTAGATATGCACCTATTCTTGAAACTTTATGTTCCCTCTTGTCAAGAAAATGTGAACATCCAGATTAAATGTTATTTATATATTTTTAAAAAAGCTTACCTTTTCCACACCTATTACAGGTAGCTCGTCTAGCAAAATTTACATTTCCACATCTAAAAGAATAAAGTTATCCAATTTAATGAAAATTATTATTATTATTTTTGATTATTGATTAATAAAAATTAATTATAATTGAATTAACCATATTTTTAACTAAATATTAATCTTATGGATATGTTGTTTAATAATAGTTATATAAAAAATTCAACTTTATACCTAAAAATAAAATGATAATTTAACATTAAAAAATTCCTATCATGTATTTTTTAAAACTGTATTTAAAAAAATGTATTCATAATTCAGGAAAATCTGAAAAAATTAATGACTTTTCTATAATATTATGTATACAATTATGTTTAATATAAATTATAGATATATGTGTGTGTGTGAGAAAATCTTTACCTATTAACATATCTATTTGTATATTACAAAGACTTTAATATTTAAAAATACTTATTGACTCAGCTAACTTATAAGACTATTTATAATTCAACTCATGCTGGAATTTCAAGTTCACTAACAGTTGCTAGCATGGTTTACTAGGAGTAACAAATTTATTGTAGTATAGTATTGACATAAAAATTCAATAATAATAATATCATTCAACTTTAGAATTAGGTTGCTAGTTCATCATACAATTAACTCATGATAGAAATGAGAGTAATTCAATAAAAAAATTTGGTAAGTTACAAGTAAAAGCACTTAGCACTTGAACAATAATTAAATTTGTTTTCTTGTATTTGTGTTTTAACACCATATTCAAATTTTTGAATTGAATAAAATTACATTAATTGAGAAAGGATCAGAAAATAAATTTACAGGTTCTATTATTTGAAACACAAAACTCTTTCAAATTTAAATGCTGTATGCACACACATACATGCATTGTATATATGTATATAGGGTGTCCATAAATTATTCACCAGATTAAGAAATTTGATAAAAAGAGAAAAAGAAAAAAAAAAAACGAGTCAATTACAAGAGAGCAAAAAATTTCACACCAATAGCCACAAGAGTAAGACAGTGCCCCTGAAGCTCCCAGAATCAACTCTGAGAGTTGGAAAGCTTAAATAGTATGCTAATAAGTGTTTGACTATTAGAAAATTGGGCTTCAGTTATTTGTTTATATCTATTCATTTTAAGCTAGGACTAAATAAGCAGTACACTTAAATAACTCCAGCAATAAATCTTAAGCTAGAATACAATCATAATAGCTATGATCATGCTGTCTTTATAAATTATGGAAGATTAAGTGCCAATAGAAATCCATAGGTGATAAATATTTCTGATCAATGTGAGACAAACTCCATTGTTATTGTTCTGTTTTCTCCAGATGAAAAATTTATAAATTCTGAGAAGGGAGTAGGAAATACCAATTACATGTATCTATCTTCTCTATATGCTTAGGGGATAAAAACATCATTGGGCTGCAATTTGAAAAAATTGAATACCTATAAAATTCCCACTGTCATCCATTTGTCTGTCTTTCCTTAATCTCAAGAATAGAGTTAGATAGATGAAAGCTGAGACCAGATATGGAAAGATTAGGGGCAGAAGGCTGTGGTTAACTATATACAAATGTCTGATGCAAACTGGAAGTCATGTTATTTCAATTCAAAACTTTTCCTCTGATAGAAGTTAATGACTGGCATGACTGTTGCTAACACGAAAAGTATGATGTACAGGGGCAGAACACTGCTAATTTGAGGTGAAGAGCATATATTTTAAATTAAATAAATTAAAAGAATATGATTAAAAATTGCAGCCCAGCATTGCGACAATGTCACAATAAATAATTACTCATTCTACTTTCTATGTTCATAACTATTTGAATAACAGGAGTGTTTCAATTACATTGTTTTTGGTCTTGTTTATATACTATAATAGTCTTGGTCCCATTTAAGTATTCTTTAAGAAAATATTTAAAGAAAATAAAAACCTTTTTCTTTGACATAACAGTATTTAAAAGATTCGCTGCATATTTACTCTTACCACATTGTATTTAAAACTCAAATGTTTCAGAATCCAATTAATCTTACTCAAGTTACATACAGAATAACTTGTTTTATTAATTAAACAATGAAAGGCTCAGTTTATTTATAAGCTTTGACTTAATAAGTAATTTTGGGAAAAACATATCCTAAAAACCAAGGTGGATTAAATTAAGAAGACTCTACTTAAAATTATGTAATTCAAAGGATTATTACTAAATCATATGTTATTGTTAGATGAAAGTTGATAACTAACAATTGATGATATTAAGCTTTCAAAATATAAACCATTTGTTTTAAATATGAAAAGTCACTTAAGATTTAGATTTTTAGAAACCATCTCTGATAAAATAAAACAATGTAGAGTTCTTTTGCTAATTTCTCATATTGATTACAGCAATAATAATAAAATTTGAAAAACTCTAGGTCTCTCTATGATAAAAAAAGTTTGAGACCAGGATCAAAAATTTATATTTCATAACCTTCTAAAATACAATAGACATTGTAACCTAATTTATATAATCCATGTTGTGTGTTTTCAATCTTCAGTAAAAATCAGATCTGGTAAAACATTAGCAGATGAAGAAAATGGCAAGATAATGCATTCACAGACTAGGAAATTTGAATGCTCATTGCAGGCCTACTAGGAAGATCAAGATGATAGTTCACAATTACTTAAAGGACACTGACAATTATGGTAAGGCTAAACATTGTGGTAGGACAAAAAAACTTTCTGCCAGAGATGATAGGACAATATTGAGAGCAGCTACATTCTCTAATATGCCATCTAATCAGTGTTACAGGTAGCTTTTCTACAGCTACCTGTAACACCAAGAACAATCAGATAGGTTCTGCAAAAGTCTGCAGATCATCATACAATAAACTCACAGCCAAAATTGACAACCTCCTGTATGGAAAAGTGGCTAGACTTTGCAATGTGTTATGTTGGCCATTCAGATTTATGGAATCTTACAGCTTTTACCAATAAGAAATTTAACCTGAATGACCTTGATGGTGTGCAATACTATTAATATGATGTATGTTACCAACTTCATCTTTTATCATGTTGTGTAGAAGGTAGAGGATCCATGATGGTGTAGGCAGCTTTCAATCATCAGTTAAAATCAGTTATCGCTTTCATTTCTCCTTGTTCAAAGGCAGTTGACTATTAAAATATGTTAGGAAATTATCTTCTATCATTCAGAGATGAAGCAATGGACAAACATTTTATTTTCCAGCAGGATAATGCTCCTATTGATAACACTGCCTCAACAATGACATGGTTGTCTGACAAAGATATCAATGTTTTGCCATGGCCACCATATATCCCAGATTTAAATCCAATAAAAAACCTTTGGGGTGATTTAGTATGAGTGGTTTATGTCAATGGAAAACAATATTTAAAAATGCAACTTAAGGTAAATGATATCACTGACACCACTGCAATGTAAGTAATATTACTGAACTAAAATTGATAAAACTTTTTTATATGACTAATAGTTAATATTTCTGCAAATTAAGTAGCCTATACTTAGCGTCAGAACATAACAATATAATCAAAATTTCATTTTTCTTTGTCTTCCAATACTGTAGTATAAATGTACATAATTATATATATATATATATATATATATAATACACATCTTGACTGCATGAACCATATTAAGAGATATAATGAGAGTATAAATGTATATGACATATATAGCATAATATTATGATGTCCAATAACTAAAATTTCATTTCAAATTCTATTTAAATTGTATTTATGACAATAATTTAGCTATAAAAATTACCAAGAAATAAAATAAAATGATGAAACTTTTAAATATAAAGTTTTGTCAGTGTCGTCATGAACAAAACATAAATTTTTTATATTTAAATAAATATACAGTGGAATCTCGCTTAATGAGTATAATTCGTTCCAGAATCATACTCGTAATGCAAAACACTCATTAAGCAAAACAATTTTTCCCATAGAATTTAATGTAAAATATGATAATGCATTCCATGCCAAAAAAATACTCAAATATTTTATGTATAATGTTTATTCAAAGAAAATTGTACAATGTGCATTGTTAAGGAGCATGAGTCATCATCAACTTTTCTTCTAGCGTGGAATGAACCAACCTAAAATGAGAATTCAATTTGCAAAAAACAAAAAAAACAAAAAAATCACAGATAATATGTTTGATAAACACTCCAAATGATATTCCAAATTCTTGGGCTATGTAAAGGCTATAATTAAATATTAGAAATTAATTAATTTGACTAGAGGTAGGCAGTTATGCTTCCATCTCATATTAAATTTAATAATTATACATAGTTAATTTTTAATTCAGACATTTCTAAAATTTAATTTGGAATTGGTCATTAAATTTAATACGAGATGGCAGCATAACTGCCCATCTCTAGTCAAATTAATTAATTTCTAATATTTAATTATAGCCTTTACATAGCCGAAGAATTTGGCATATCTTTTGGTATGTTCATTATATAACAGGCTATGGTTGTTGATGTTTAAACGTAATATGTGTGAATGCAAGTTTGGAAAAATATGTGATCACAAGCAACATTAAGATGCTAGCAGAATGAGTGCTAAACACAGACTGATGGAGCAAGTGCACAATTTGGGACTTTCCCTCTCCTCGTCACTCATTATGCGAAACATCGCTCATTAAGCGAGGCAATTTTTTACAATTTGTTTTGCTCATTATGTTATTTTTATGAACTTTATTATAAAGATCATAAAAATAATTTTAATGAACTTTATTACAAATTATAATTATTATTAAAAAGCTTTATTATGAATTATATTAATGGCATAATTGCCAGAGAACATTTTTATCCATTTTGCATTTTATTGTGGAGGTGTAACCTCAAATAAAAGGTCATCTCTGTAAGTAAAAATTGTTTTTGGAAGTCACTGGTGTTTTTAACGATGGAACAATAAGACAATTTTGTAGCTTCATGTAAATTTTACCTATGTATTTTAATGTAAATACCATCAGCCACGATTTGATTCCAATCTTATCAATACACATAAACAAGAATTAATACATCAC